TACTGTCAGTGACTGTGTGGCCATGAGTTTCCCAGGTCAATGGACAGGAAGATGACCAATTGCAAGAATGCACACAGAGCTATGAATGGCACTTACTGTGAAGTGTTTTGCAACTAACCGCACTAGTGTGTAAATGAACTGTTTCAACTGCTGAACAAAGTATTGCCACCAATATCCTCATATGTTTTCATTCCCAAGTTACAGCTGCTTGAAATCCCAGCAATTCTTTTAGGTAGACCCTGTATTATCAGGTGTAATCTCTACAATCTACACAGCTCTCCTCATGAGACTTCAACGGAAGAGAATTCAAACTTAAAAGGAAGATAGGCTACATTTCAAAATGCATATACTGTACACTTCACTGAACATGTACAAGATGACTGAAACGCAAACTGAAATAAATATCTTACTGAGTATAAATGAAAACTACACCATACAAATTGAAGAAACAGTACACGAACAAGAATAGCCATACATACAACATTCTGGAAGCACAATTTGGAGACTGAACTAGACAGGATGTGAAATTTCAGGTTAGCACTGCAATGGGTGCTTAGATTACAGTATGATGGGATGTGAAGCTATGTAGTCTGGTAGCTAGAAGGACAACCTTCTACCTTGAATATAGAGGCAGCAGGTTCCTCCAAAAAAACTGAAACAGAATGTTCGATAATCAAAATCTTACTATCCTGGTCAATAAGCCTCTCAAACATGACACACCTTTAACAGCATTATAAACAGGATCATCTTTTTGTGTAGAAGACAAGTAATAGGCAGAAATCCACTCTCGCATAAAACGCCACAGGAAGTCTATCAGAGTGAACACAGTTTTGGCACACATCATTCGTGTGTCTACATTCAAGCCTTCTGCTGAAACTGTTCCACATCCCGACAAATGAAGTGCATATGATGGTCGCTCATCACCAGGGCTTGACTGTGGTATATGAGAGTTGGTATCTAACACAGCTATCATCTCTTCCAAAAAGCAATTCAGATCAGCAGGTGAAGCAGACAGAACAGCATGTACTGAAACAAAATTGGAAGATTAAATTAAAACACAGACACTGAAACTTTCTAATTTATTCCTTAAGTATAACATTCACATGCTCTGTGCAATATTATCACCACTTTCTTGCATCACAACTGTAACTAAGAATATGGTTTATTCAAACATTTTCCACTGCTAAACAGCAAAAAACAGCATTCACAGGCTACTTCCTCGTGAGTGGCAAAATTTGGGAGGCAACTTAGCTATTTATCGCTGTAACATTGGACATTTCATTACACATATTTATGCAAAAATGAATGAAAGTGTATATTCAGATTGTCATATGCTTGAGTGTTACCACAGACAGGGTTCAGACTGGAAATTGGATTTGTTAAACACTTACAGATCATAGCTACAATTAACCGTAGTGCTACCACACACTCTACATTTCACTACAGCATGCACTAGGTCTTCTTTGTCTGCTGTGTCTTCACTGGTGTCTGGTAAAAGGCCTGCCTGAGAGCCTTGTTCACTGTTTTCTCTCCTATAAGTAACAGCTGAGTTTTTTGTTGGGTCTTCTACCTCATTAGCAAATGCTTTGCCTGCCTCCCTTCTCACATGGTCCTCAGACAGTGCAGGGTAGGCACGGTGGTGGTAAATACTTGTAGGGATTCTCCAATGCACTGGGTCCTCATTTTCAGCCAACTGCAACACACAGCAGCCAGGTGCTGGTCCCATTAGCATTCCCTTGGGGCCTCAAGAATTTCCTCAGATGTCACTCCGTTTGGCAGGGCAGCTATCAGGTACATGACTCGCTCCTGGGGTGTCCAGCAGTTACGCTCTGCTATGGTCTCAAACTGGTGTTTGAACATAGCGCATTATCTGGGTCTCACAAGTAAAAATCTTTTATTTAAAAAAAT